TATCATAGTGTTGGACAAAGCGGTGCCAAGAGTTTTTTATTGCCATAAGCGAAATAAAAGTTACTATAACATAACATATAGATATTTGTAATAAATAAAATACGTAATTTTTTTGAATTTCTTTTATAAATAATAAAACCCGTAAATATAATATAAAACTGTGTTATACGAAAAAACTAATATAAAACTGTGTTGTAGAGAACAAGTGTTAATTAAAATTTAACACCGTTTACAAACTTTCGTCAGTGGGGTTATCCACGTTAATGATGATGTAGTAAAACCAAAACATTTAAAAAATTTGTGTACTGAAAAACCAATGTTAAATTGTTTGGGTATTAATCGGGTTACCAAAAAAATTTGGATATTTTTCAGCCAATATAATTAAATTGGAGAATTTTTGAGGAATTTTCACAATAAAAAAGAGGACAAAATAGACCGAAATGGAAACTACGGGGTCAAATGTGCAAATACTTCATAAATTTGAAGCGGATCTCGTAAATTTCCTTCGGTGATGAGCATGTGAAGCCACCAAATGAGTCAGGTCTGTTTGGTTGCATACTCCGCAGACCTATCAAAGCGAGTCCGTCACGAGCGTCTTCGTCTCCGGCGATTCTTCACGTATATTAACTTTCCAATTTATTTTCCGTTCATCTCACCGGAAAATCCCTCCCGGAATCTTACGGTATATCTCTCTATAATCGCATCCTTTCGATTACGCCCTTTTTCAGGAACCTTTGTACTCTCCTTGCGATTTTGAGTAGATTCGGCTCTGTATGGTTAGGGTTTGAAGGTGGTGATTTTGATGCTCTTCGTTATATCTCTCTGTAAGCTAGAATTTGCTTCAGTTGATTTTCTAGGGTTTCTGTCCTTGAGTTCCACAAATGTCAGAAGCTTCTCGACGGAGTAGGATCACTATTACTCTAGGGCGTAGCGGTCAGGTGCGTTTCCTCTCATGAGATGCGATTTTTTTCGTTATCACGGTTCGTATCTAGCTAATTTCATGGTAGAAGGGAACGTGTTAAAAATCCCTAGTCCTGGAATGTGTGGGAGATGTTGATTTTGGTGCTTTCATGATGGTCTCTGGTTTATGAAATGGGTTTGGATTTCTAGAAATGAGCTTGTTCCACTGTTTATTATAGATGGTTATACGAAGAGAATGTGGAAAATATGTTGGTGTAGGATTTGATGAGTTGAGTCTAGAAAACTGCTCATTTGTGTTCTCTCTTTTTGCAGGTGGTAAGTCGAGATGGAAGTGATTTAGACGCTGGATTTGAGTTGCCCAGAGCTGTGACTAAGCGGTCCGTGAAAGAAAGATTAGGGAACCAGTTTGATAGTTCTTTTTACGGAAATGAAGTGGTCAGTAAAAGGTATTTCCATTTTCCCTCTTATGTGTATTGCTTTATATTTAATTTCAGGAGAATGTTGAGTATTGTTATGTGTTTTGGATTTTTGGTTTTGGAATTCGCTTATTTGTTGCTGCAGGGCAATTACTAAAGTACAGTGTTTGCTCTTCTTCGGTTGTGTAGGCAAAGAGGGGAAGCCAGTTTCAGTGGAAATGGTATAGATATATAAATGACTGGATACACACTAGCATCTTTGCTGATTTCTGACCCTTCACTCTTTGTTACTAAGATTTGCAGATCACTCAAAATGATCTCCGATTCAAACTGTTGCAAAAAAATGCTCAGAAACGAGCTCAGAGTGAGGAATGCAGCACTATGGATCTTCGTGCGAAGCTCTCTAGGAGTGAGCAGCCTCCTCGTAGCCTTGATAGTCAACCTCGTATGGCTGAGCCTAGGGATGGCCCGTTACCTCCGTCAAGAACTGCTCGTGGTTCCTCTCATATGCTTTCATCAAGCAGTTCTCCATGGGACATAGATGATATTCGAAGGAAGACTCCAGAGAGGTTTCTGAGTACTTCTAGGGGTCATTCGCCGCCAAGAAATGCTGGAAGTAGCATTGGCAATCCAAGGGTTCATTCGCCGCCAAGAAGTGCTGGAAGGATAATTGGCAATCCAAGGGTTCATTCGCCGCCAAGAAGTGCTGGAAGGATAATTGGCAATCCAAGGGGTCTATCGCCGCCAAGAAGTGCTGGAAGGATAATTGGCACTCCAAGGGATCTATCTCCGTCAATAAATGCTGGAAGGATAATTGTCACTCCAAGGGATCTATCACCACCAAGAAACGCTGGAAGGATGATTGGCACTCCAAGGGATCTATCACCGTCTAGGAATACCCGAAGCTTCAGTGGTGGTTCTAGGCCTCTGTCTCCAATTAGAAATGTGGGAAGCTACATGGGTTCTTCTCGAGGTTTTTCCCCTCCTAGGAATCCTGGAAGCTACATGGGTTCTTCCAGGGGTTCTCCTCCATCTAGGAACATCGATGATTTTCATGGACGAAGCAGGATGCTTGATGATGTGAGAGTGTCGCCATATGCAGTTAGAGGTGTAATGAATAGTCACGCACCAACAAGTACTACTTTCGCCAGGCCAATGTTACCTCCTCCGGTCCCAAACCCTCATCCATTGCCTCCGTTGAGTCAGCTTCCTCCACTTGGAAGTATGATGCAGAACAGTCCCTTCCCTGTAAGA